GCCCCGTGCCAACATCACACCCACTGTGGCGTCAGAGTGTGAGACAATGTACATGCCACCCAGGGGCGGCTCTGGCGAGCTCCCAGGTTGACAGCAGGGTAATGGCTTAGTAGCACTCACCCACCTGGCCTGAACCCTGGCTGGAGGCTTTCCTTCCATCTCTCATCATCTTCTTCCATCTCTTAGGAAGCACAGTGGCTAAACTCTCAGTCTCAGATTAAAATGGCTGCGTTCTAATCCTGCCTCTCTCGCCTACTAGGTTAAATTACCTAACTTCTCTGTGCCTCAGTTTTCTCATCTGTGAAAGGGAGACGATCATCCCTCTCTCCTAAGGCTATTGTGAGGATTAAATGAGGCAACGCACGTGAGGAGCTTAGAAAACTTCCTGGCACCCGATGAATGCCTACCAAACGTTATTCATTGGCTATAATCTAGACTTGCCAGGTGTCCTCTGTGGTCACACTGACTGACGCTTGTTCTCACTCTCTGCTCTTGGGTCCCCTTGGAGAAAAATCTCAAAGCATCTGCACAGTAAATTTCTCTTGTGGTTTGTGGTCACATTTGCATGAATCTTTTGTCCATTTTTTGTTTGTTTAACATTTTTTATTGATTTATAATAATTTTACAATGCTGTGTCAAATTCCAGCATAGAGCACAATTTTTCAGTTATACATGAACATATATATATTTGCATGAATGCTTTGAATGCTCTACCTGGTAAAATTCCACATTAGATGTCCATCCTCCCCAAGGTAGATGCCAGGAACTCAATTTCCCAGCCTGCCTCGCATGACCTAGGCTCCACCAATCAGATGCCTTCACGTGAGAGCTTGAGGAAGCAGGAGGCTCCTTCAGGCACCTCAGAGGCAAATGACTCTCCTCCAGGCTTCCCTACACTCCTCTCTAGAGGCTGGTATGGCTTGAGAAGAAGATATGTTGGAGTCCTAAGCTTTAGTACCCCAGAAGGTGACCTTTGTCAGAAATAGTCTTTCCAGAGATAAACAAGTTAATAAGGCCATTAGGGTGGATTCTAATTCAGTATGATTGGTGTCTTTATAAAAAGGGGAAATTTGAACACACAGGGAGAACACCACATGAAGATGCAGGCAGAAACTGAGGTGATGCAGCGATAAGCCGAGGAAAACCAGAGATGACCAGCGCCCCCCAGAAGCTAGGAGGGAGGCCTGCATCAGATTCTCCCTCACAGCCCTCACAGCCCTCACAGCCCTCACAGCCTCTCAGAGGGAACCAGCCCTGCCAAGACCTTGATCTTGGATTTCTAACCTCTAGAACCGTGAGAAGATACATCTGCTGCTTAAGCCACCCCCAGTTTGTGGCACTTTGCTACGGCAGCCCTGGGAAATGAACGCAGAGGGGAAACTCCTGTGTTTTTGCATCAAATGTAAGCTCTGGGAGCAGGAAATTTTGTCTGTCTTGTTTTCTGGCACATAAATGGTGCCCAAGAAATAAATGTTCAGTAAATGAGTGTGTTCTTCACAGTTCACAGCACAGGGTGCACAGGACAGAGAAAGGGCCTGCACTCTAAGACTGGCCACTTCTCATCCATCACCATGGACCTTGGCCGTGGCTGGAGGCTGCGGGGCCCACCGGACACAGCGGGGCTGCAGGGGCTGGATGGACGGCCATGCGGCTTGTGGCTCTCAGGCCTGACTGGAGGCTGAAGAGACCTTAGAAATTCTACTCCAACTCCTTCATTTTAAAACACAAAGCCCACGAGGCCCAGCGAAGGTTTAAGTAACTCCCTGACAGGTCCCTTCCTGTGGCACGGCGCAGCCACCACAGTGAGCTCAGAGCTCAGCTGGAGGATGCATCAGCTCTGACCCCTTCCATCTGTCTTCCATGCCATCCCGCCTCCCCAAGGGTTTCCTTCTTTCTTTCCTTTATTTTTTCCCATGCATAACAGGGTCACACCAAGGAGGCAATTGGCAGGGAGCGCCTTTGAGTTCTGAAGAGAAGTGATCATTATGCCTGTGGTCCATACAGTGGCTCTTGTTACGTACTACCCAGCCTGATTTTGGGGGGAGCCTAGTCTAATTTCTCTGTGGCAATGGCCTGGGGGGACGAGGGAAGGGTCTGCATAACAGAGCTAAGTCGTCCAAGTATGGTTAGGTAGGGATCTTCTCTCATTTGGCTATGAATGTGTGAGTGTGTGCATCTGAGTGCATGGTGCACACATGAGAGAGAGAGAGAGAGAGAGAGAGAGAGTGTGTGTGTGTGTGTGTGTGTGTGTGTGTGTTGGTGATGGACCTAGGGAGTCTCTTCCCAGAGGAAGAAGAGGCAGCTGCCCATGTCCTGTGGAGCCGAGTGGCCTGCCCCAGAGCCTCCATCTTCATGTACAGACCAGCGCACATTGAGGACTGAAGTCACCCAGATGGGTCACCAGGAGTCCACAGAGCCCTGCCCAGCAGGGTTCAGCCTACAGGCCACATCCAGGCCAGTCTGGGAATGGGCCTCCTTTGTGTTAGGAAACGTGAGCCTCCTGGATTGCACATGGGGCTGGGCGTGTCCCTCACAGAGAGCCCTTTGTGCCTGGGAGGGGGTTGGCCCCGTTTGTTCTGGCGGAAGTCCAGGCACTGCCCACCTGCAGCCTCCCCACCCCGGGGCTCCCCGCCTTTCCTCTCCAGCGGCACCTCCCTTCCTCATGGGGTGCAGCCACCCTACTGAGGGCAGAGCACTTGGGAGGAGGCCTAGCCTTTGCCAGAAGGGTGACCCTGAAAGCCCCTGGTGAGAGACCAGGGTGACTCCAAGGACAGCTGTCCTGGAGAGGAGAGGGCTCTGGGGCTACACTGCGCAGTCTGACAGTGGAGCCGAGGACAGGCCCACCCTGGGGCACTCGGGCCCTGAGATCTCTGAGGCAGAAAGCCCTTCCTGGCCATCCTGCCTGGGGCAGGGTGGACGACTCTCTAATCTGGCTTGTTGGTGGGGAGACACTATCACTGAAGGTCCACAATTATAATTGCAATCGTTCATGTTCCTTTAAAAATTAAATTAAAAGAAAAAAAACCCACGAGAAATCTCATGCTTGTCAGAGCCTTCCTTCCCC